CAGTAAGTGAACAAAGTCTTGACTATTAATTTCATTTGGCTTATTGTCCTAACTGACCATCTCAACACCTGACATCTTGACAATCTTAAATTATTAAATATAACAATCAAAAGACAGATTGGCAGGGTATATATGTTGTTTGTGATAAACTCATTTCAAATTCAACAATTTAGGTAGGTTGAAAGTAAGTGATATAATAAGATATATTATGCAAACAGTTTAAAACATAGAAGTGGCTAAATGAATATCAAACACAGTGGACTTCAGAACCATGAAATTTACTAGAGTCAAAGAGGGATATTACATAAGAATAAAATGATCAATCCACCAGGAAGATAAAACAATATTAAATGTGCATGCACCAAGCAACAGAGACTTAAATATGTAAAGCCAAAGCTAATAAAATTGAAAGGAGAAATAGATAAGTCCACAATTACAGTCAGGGGCATAAACAACCCAATCTCAAAATCAATTGAACTACTAGGTAGAAAATCAGTGAGGATTTAGAGGATCTGAAAACTATTAAACAACAGTTATCTAATAGGCATGTATAAAATACTCCAACCAACAACATAGAATACACATTAGTTTCAAGAACCCAATAAATATATACCAACATAGACATATCTTGGACCATGAAAGAAACCTCAGCAAATTTAAAAGAATTGTAATTATAGAGTATGTTCTCTGACAAAAATGGAATAAACCTACAATTCAGTAGTATAAAGGCAGAAAATCTCTAAACATGTGGAAATTAAGCAACATACTTCTAAATAATCTACGGCTCAAAGAAGAAGTTTAATGGGAAATTTTAAAACTACATAAAACCAAATAAAAGTAAAAATACAAGGTACCAAAATATGTGGGATGCAGCAAAAGTAATGCTGAGAGGAAAATTCATAGCACTAAATGCTTAACTGGAAAAGATGAAAGGTCTCAAATTAGCAATTTAAGTTAGTACCTCTAGAAACTAGAAAAAGAAGAGCAACATAAATTCAAAGCTAGCATAAGGAAAGAAACAGTAAAAATCAGGGCAGATATAAATAAAATCAAAAACAGAAAAACAACAGAAAAAATGCAAAAAAGCTGATTTATTAAATAAAATTGATAAGCCTCTAGCAAGATGGAAAATAAAAAGAGAGAAGATACAAATCACCAGTATCACAAATGAAACAGGGAATGCCAATGTAGATCTTGTAGCCATTAAAAAGATAATAAGGAAATACTGTAAATAAATTGATGCTCATAAATTTGATAACTTAGAAGAAATGAAACAATTCCTCAAAAATAAAAAAACTTCCAAAACCCAACCAGGATGAAGCAGATAGTTTGGTCAGTCCTAAAATCATTAAAATGGCTGGGCATGGTGGCTCATGCCTGTAATCCCAGCACTTTGGGAGGCTGAGGTGGGTGGATCACCTGAGGTCAGGAGTTTGAGACCAGCCTGGCCAACCTGGTGAAACCCCATCTCTACTAAAAATTTAAACATTAGCTGGGCATGATGGCAGATGCCTGTAATCCCAGCTACTCAGGGGGCTGAGGCAGGAGAATCACTTGAACCTGGGAGGTGGAGGTTGCAGGGAGCCGATATCGCACCATTGCACTCCAGCCTGGGCGACAAAGTGAGACTCCATCTCAAAAAAAAAAAAAAAAAAATCATTAAAATAACTGAATTCATAATTAAAATGCTTCAAAGCTGGATAATTCTACCAAACATTTGAAAAAACACCAATTTTACCTAATCTCCTCCATAAAATAGAATCAGAGGAAACACTTCTCAATTCATTTGATGAGGCCGGTGTTATGAGACAAAATAAAAAGAAAGGAAATTACAGACCAATATCTCTTATTAATTCTGATGCAAAAATCCTTGACAAAATATAAGCAAACCAAATCCAACAATGTATAAAAATAATTATTCACCATTATGAAGTTAGATTTATTACAGCTATGGTAATTCAACATTCAAAAATCAATCAATTCACTGTATCAACAAGCTAAAGAAAGAAAAGCACATAATCATATGAATTGATGCAAAAAGAAAGCATCTGACAAAATCCAAAACTCATTAAGTCTCCCAGCAAGTCATAAATAGTACAGAATTATTTCAACTTGATAAAGAACATGTAAAATAATTATACAAAACAAAAAATCCACAGCTAATATACTTAATGGTGAAAGACTGCTTTCCTCTTACAATGCTTTCCTAATGGCGCTTTCCTTCTAAGACAGAAACAAGGATGCTCTGTCTTACCACTCTTATTCTACACAATACTGGAAGGTCTAGCCACTGCAACAAGGCAAGAAAAGGAAATAAAATGCCTAACATCACAAAAGAAGAAACAAAACTACAATTTATAGATAATCTGTTTGTAGAAAATCTAGAGGAATTTAAAATTCAACAAACAAACTCCAACTAAAAAGTGGGTTTACAAGGTCATAAGACACTAGATAAACACACAAACTTCAGTCACATTTATACACACTAGCAATGAATATATGGAACAAAACTTTAAACCACAATACCACTTATAATCTCTCCAAAGAAAACGAAATATTTAGCAAAACATGCATAGTATATGTATGCTGAAAATGATAAAATACCAGATAAAAGAAATAAAAGATATAAATAAATGAAAATACTGTGTTTACAGATTGTAAGTCTCAACATAGTAAAGATACCAGTTTTCCCCAAATTTATCTGTAGGTTCAATGTTCATATCAAAATCCCAGCAAGATTTTTTGTAGCTATAGATACGTTTATTTTCCAATTTATAAGGACGTGTATAGTCTCTAGAATAGCTAAAATAACCTTGACAAACAGGAATAAAGTGGGAGGAATCAATCTACTCAATATTAAGGTTTACAGTATAGCTACAGTAATCAAGACAGCTTGGTAGTTTCTTATAAAATGAAACATGCAACTATTATATGATCTAGCAACTGCACTCTTGAGCATTTCAGAGAACTGAAAACATGTTCACTCGAAAATCTGTACACCTACGTTCACAGTAGCTTTATTCATAGGAACTAATAACTAGAAACAACCCATATGTCTTTCAGTGGGTGAATGGTTCAGTAAACTACAGTACATATATATCATTAAATACTCCTTAGCAATAAAAAGCAATGAACTGCTGGTAGGTGCAACAACTTGGATGAATCTCCAAGGAATTATGCTGTGTGAAAAAAAGTCAATTGTAAAAGGTTATATACTGTAGGATTCCATTAATATTTATTCCATAAGTATTTATTTTTGCAATAATAAAAATTTTAAAATGGAGATCAGATTAGTTAGTGCTTGTCAGGGCTTAAGGATGGGTAGGGAGTGGCTGAAGGAAGAAAACAGGTATGATTATAAAAGAATAAAGTCCTTTGATATCTTTGTGATGATGAAGGTGTCTATTGTGATTGCAGTGGTGAATATACACACCTATGCCTGTGATAAAATTTGCATCGAACTAAATACACACCACACACACACAATGAGTACATGTAAAAGTAGGAAAATCTGAATAAGATGGGTGGATTCTATCAATGAAAATATCTTGGTCATGATATTATACTACAGTTTTGCAAAATGTTATCATTGGGGAAAACTAGGTAAAGGGCATATATGGGATGTGTCTGTATTATTTCTTAGAGTCTGTAATTATTTCAATAAATATTTTAATTTAAAAAAGAAGTAAAATACATCTGCCTACTGTCTGATCCGGTAAATCTGCTTCTAGAAATATATTGAATGGAAATATTTGCATGAGACAGGGCAATGGAGGTGGGGGGAAGGGTTAGATTCTGATCAGTGTTGAAGCTAGAGCCACCACAACTTACCAAGGAATTGAGAGTATCCCCATATCTCTGGCCCAGTCTCCTCATGGTTTCCTGGCTTCACGCTGCAACATCTAATCCATTTGCCATTCTGTAGCTGAGATGATCTTCTACAAACTCACCCTGACCATAGAGCCTTCTATGGTCCCCCACTGCCCTCAAAAGCCAGCATTCTTTCCCCTGGCATAAGAGATACTTCATGATCTGGCCTCTCTGACTCATGCTCAGTCCTGTTCTGCAACTCCCCTGACTCACTGCATTCCCTTTTGACACGAGGCCTGTGCAGATGCTGTTCCCTCAGCCTGGAAGACCTCAGTCTGGGTGACTCATGCTCACTCTTTAAGTCCCTGGTCAGACAGCACTTCTTCCAGGAAGCCAGCCTGACCTTCTCAGCAGGGTTCTAAGACCCATATTTCCTGCCTAATCACAGCCTTTTGCAAAAGTGAGTAATGGTTGTCTCCTTACTGGCTAGGCACAGGGTGGGGGCTCAGAGTGTGATTCTTCCAAGTAGAGGGGCTCCCCAAGTCCAGATTCTGCACCATGTTCAGGAGATCCTGTAGCATCTGACCTCTCCTGACCTCCCAGCCCTGGATCTAGCCCCCATCTCTCCACTACTTCCTTTATTCAGCCTGTTGACTTTTAATAGTTCTTCTAACTCTCCTCATGGTCTTCTCTCAAGGCCTTTGTTGATACTGTTTTCTCTGCCCTGACATGCCTCCTTCTTCCCATTTTCACCTGGGTACCTCCAACTCATCCTTTCCACTTCAGTGGGAGGTTTCCCTGACTGCCTGGGCCAGGTGAAGGCCTCTGTTATGACGTTTCCCATGGTACTCTGTGCCTCCTTCCTTCCAATGCACATCATAATTTGTCATTCATTATTTTTTGCCTGTACTTACACCAGAATGTGAACCCCATGAAGGCAGAGCAATTTATGTCTTGCTCACTGCTGAATAGTGCATGGCACCTAGTAGGAGCTCAGGACATGTTTGTTGAATAAATGATTAATTTCCCTCCTCAGAGACAAATGCAGGCATGTGGCTTGCCCAGTTGACCCGGGGTCTTTGTGAAGTGGACAGCAATTCTGGGCACCAGCTGCATGACAGGTACTCTCGAGACCTCACTTATTCCTGACCATAACCCCTTGTGATAAGTTTATCATTCTCATTCTACAGACGGGTAACTGAGGCTCCAAGAGAAGAAATAACATCTGCAGAATCACTGCTGGTAAGTGGAGAGTCAGGATTTAAACCCAACTCTCTGGCCTTTGAAATTGGTTTCTTACCACAAAAAGGCACTGCCTCTTGGTGGTAAGAAACCAACTGGTTTTTTTCAGATGACCCTGGGAGCTAAAAGAACCAATGCTTCTTGCATGCCCGTTCTGTGCCAGACACTGACTTGCTGATCTTGCTTAGGCTCACCACAGCCCTGTGCAGTGGGAATTAGAGGAAGAGCCTGAAGCCCTGAGAAGCGAAGCCACTCACCGAGATCACATAGCTGAGAAGAGCTGAGCCAGGATTTACCCCAGGGTGTTCTGACTCCAAGGCTGGTGGACTCAGGCAGAGTGGCTACACATTGGTGCCACCTCCCACTTCCTGGACATACCAGCTTGATGACACCAGGCACTGGAAGCTCCCACCTAGGCCTGCAGGGTGAGTACAGAAAAAGACAAAGATCCCTTGAGTCGTCTGGGTGAGAAAAGGCAGGGAATGACAGGCACAGTGTGGTGCGCTAGTGATGGCCTGTGCACAGCTGGGGCTTTGCCAGTCCCTTTACAGGGTGGGCTCTGGAGATAACTGAATCTGGAGAAAGTATAGATCTGAAGCCCTGTCCCCAGCTTGCACAGAGCTGCAAATCACAGGGTTACACGTGTTTCCTGCCTTCCTGGTGTGAAAGTGGCTGAAGAGAGTGTGAGGCCAGCCTCGGTTTCCCCATCCCAGAAGGGGAAGATGCCCTTAGAAGTTGCCCCTGCCCTTCTGGAGACCCTCTTGAGACTGCAAGATTGGCCTGAAGGAAGAGGTCATCAGGTCTTTGCCAATTGGTCCCTGGGGCCCAGGGAGGGGCAGAAACTAGCCCAAAGTCACACAGGGATGCTTGGTTGGCCCAGAATTGGGGCAGGCTTTGGAATCCCCACCCAGTGCTCTTTTTGCTGCCTCAGGCTGCACTTATGCTACCCTGTTTCACTTGGAAGGCCAAGGAGATGAAGAAGAAGCTACTGAGCAATAGGGTATAGGGGCGATGGTGGAGGGTGTGCTGTAGGCTGGGGAAGAGAGTAGTGAGGATGCTGCCAGGGAGCTGAGGGGCCAGGGAGGGGAGGGCTGTCTTAGTTATGTCAGGTTGGGGTGTGTCACGCACTTGTGATCTCAGTCTCATGCTCTCATCTTGAAGGAACAGCACCCAGATTTTCCTTTAGGGAGTCCCCTCCCAGCTGCCCCTAAGTCCACTCCCCATCCCCAGCTTCAAGGCTCAGCCCATCAGTAAACTTCATCCCCCTGGTTACAGTAATTGGTTTAGGCAGGGTCATATGACTCCATTTGAGCAGTGAGAGGCAGCCCTGGGATTGTTGCTGGAACCTCTGTGAAAGGGGAGGAGGCTGGAAGGATGTAATACAGTAGCTGCTGCTGATCATCTTGCCACCACAAGGGAAAGTCATCTGGCAAAGAGGTCAAGATAATGATAGCAGGGTTGAGAGCCTGAGGCAAGGACAGATTCCTGAGGATATTGTCTGGGCATCTGACAGTGGGTCATCCTGGCTGCCCTCATTCCCAGCCTGCAGGACATCCTCCACCATCACCCCTATATCCTGTTGCTCAGGCATCCAACCATGCCTGAACAGCTATGGAATTTCCAGTTTTGTGAACCAATATAGTCTCTCTTTGGTTAAGGCAGTTTGAGTTGTGTTTCCATCATTTGCAATTAAAAGATTTCTGCTACAAAGCCCTCATGGATCTGCATTTTTTCTCTCAGGTCTCTTGTATCACTAGAGAGTTGTGGACTTTTGGTAAAGGAGTTAATACTACTCACAATTCATTTCTTCATTCAATAAATATTATTGTTTACTTCATATGTTCCATGCTCTGTGTTTTGTGGGGAGCAAAAGAGAAGTTCCCATCTTTGTTTATGTTAAAAACAAAACAAAACAAGACAAAAACAAATTAACAAGTGAATACATACAGATTATAAAATGAAGTGATGTGAAGAAAAAAAACTGCTAAGAAAGAATAATAAGGTAGGAGGGGGCTACTTGAGATCAGGTGGTCACGCTGAGAGTTGAGAGTGGAAAGGAGCAGCTGGGAAGGTGTCTGGGAGAAGGCTGTTCTAGGAGGCAGAAACAGCACGAACCAGAAGCTTGAGGAAAGACTGTTCACTAGAAGAACAGAAGGAAAGCCAGAGAGGCTGGACAAGAATAGGGATGGGAAACTGACTGGAGTGTAGAGAGAAGCCTAGGCAGACCTGATAGGGCCTTGTGGGTTTGAATGTAAATCAGTCAAAGAAGCCACTGTTCTTGCCTCCTCTCTCATAGAAAGAGAACCCCTGATTTACTTATTTTTATTATTTCTTTAAACTGTTAACTTTTATTTTAGATACAGGGGCTACATGTACAGGTTTGTTACATGGGTATATGGCATGATGCTGAGGTTTGGGGTATGGTTCCCATCATCTGGGTAGTAAGCATAGTACCCAACATATAGTTTTTTCACCCATGCCCCTTCCTTATTTCTCCCCATCAGTAGTCCACTGTGTCTTCTGGAGTGTCTGTTATTGCCATGTTTATGTTCATGTGTGTTGTTCCCATGTTTATGTCTATGTGTGTTGTTCCCAATGTTTAACTCCCACTTATAAGTGAGAACATGTGGTATCTGGTTTTCTGTTCTTGCATTAGTTTGCTTAGGATTATGGCCTCCGGATGCATCCACGTTGCTACAAAGGACATGATTTCATCCTATTTTATGGCTGCATAGTATTCCATGGTGTATATGTATCACGTTTTCTTTATATAATCCACTACTGATGGCACCTAGGTTGATTCCATGTCTTTGCTACTGTGAATAGTGTGGCAATAAAGATATGAGTACACGTGTCCTTTTGATAGAATGATTTATTTTCCTTCAGGTGTATACCCAGTAATGGGATTGCTGGGTTAAATGGTAGCTCTGTTTTTAGTTCTTTGAGAAATCTCCAAACTGCTTTCCACAGTGGCTGAACTAATTTACATTTCCACAAGCAGTGTATAAGGGTTCTCTTTTCTCTGCAGCCTCGCCAGCATCTGTTGTTTTTGACTTTTAATAATAGCAATTCTGACTGGTGTGAGATGGTATCTCACTGTGGTTTTGGTTTGCATTTCTCTGATGATTAGTGATGATGAATATTTTTTTCAAGTGTTTGTTGGCCACTTGTATATCTTCTTTTGAGAAGTATCTGCTCATGTCCTTTGTTCATTTTTTTTTTTTTTTTTGAGATGGAGTCTCGCTCTGTCACCAGGCTGGAGTGCAGTAGCGCGATCTTGGCTCACTGCAACCTCCAACTCCCTGGTTTAAGCAATTCTTTTGCCTCAGCCTCCTGAGTATCTGGGATTACAGGCACATGCCACCACACCCAGCTAGTTTTTGTATTTTTAGCAGAGACAGCGTTTTACCATGTTGGCCAGGATGTTCTTGATCTCCTGACCTCGTGATCCACCTGCCTTGGCCTCCCAACGTTCTGGGATTACAGGCATGAGCCAATGCGCCCAGCCCTTTGTCCATTTTTTAATGGGGTTATTGTTTTTGTTTCTTTGATTTGTTTAAGTTCCTTATAGATTCTGGGTATTAGACCATTGTTGGATTCATGGTTTATGAATATTTTCTCCCATTCTGTAGATTATCTGTTTATTCTGTTGAGAATTTCCTTTGCTGTGCAGAAGCTCTGTGGTTTAATTAGGTCCCACTTGTCAATTTTTGTTTTTGTTGCAATTGCTTTTGGGGACTTAGCCAAAACATTTTTGTGAAAGCTGAAGAAGGGTATTTCCTAGGTTTTCTTCTAGGATTTTTATAGTCTGAAGTCTTACATTTAAACCTTTAATCCATCTTGAGTTAATTATTGTATATGGTGAATGGCAATGGTCCAGTTTTATTCTTCTGCATATAGCTAGCCAGTTACCCATCCCAGTACAATTTATTGAATAGTGACTCCTTTCCCCATTGTTTGTTTTTGCCTTGTCAAAGATCAGATGGTTTATAGGGTATGGCTTTATTTCTGGGTTTTCTATTCTGAGAACCCCTGATTTATATTTAGGTACAGAGGACCTCTGATTATGGATACCATTTCCCAGACTCTCTTGCAGCTAGGTGTGCCATATGAGTAGATACTGGTCATTGGGATGTGAACAAGTGTGAAGTGAGTAACATCAGGGTCCTTCCTGTAAAGAGCAGAGAAATACCCACTATGTCCTCTTTTCTCCCTAGAATAGCTGGCATGCAGGGATGGGCCAGAGCCATCTTAGACTGTGGCAGGAGGGCAACACCTTAGGAACAGCTGAGCAACAAACCAGACAGAGCCTGAGCTCCCAACAGTTTCATAAAAGAGTTGCTTTATAGGTTGACTTCTTTTTCTTCCTGAGAGAAATAAACAGTCTCATCTACCGTTAATTTTGGGCCTTTCTGTTAATGTAGCTGAAATTATATAGAGATGTTTAAAGCTATGGGTTAGGATGAGACCACCCAGGACAGTAGTCCTCAAACTGTTTTCTCTGAGAACTCTGAGGGTCATTGAGATGCTATCAGGGGTCTGTGAGGTCAAAACTCTTTTCCTAATAATGCTAAGATGTGTGTACCTTTTGCACTCTCATTCTCTCACCAGTGTATGGTGGAGCTTTCTGGGAGCTATGTGCATGGGATAGTGCAACACAGTGTATGCAGAAGTAGTATGAAAATCCAGCTGTCTTTTTTTTAAAGCCAGACAATGCAGGGATTCACAAAAATGTCAGACAATGTCACTCTTCTCACAAAATGCCTTTTGTTTGGAAATATGTTCAGTTTTCAAAATAGATTATATTTATGTTAACATGTAATGCACTCATTCTTTTAAAATTAATACTTTTAACTTTTCTCCATTTTACTTTCTAACATAAATATTAATACAGACAAACACCCCTAAAAAGCTTTTTCAGATCTTCAAGTGTTTAAGCACGGAAAGATGTCCCAACACCACAAATGTGAGAACCACCATCCTCCCCGCTGTCCAGATGCTCCCACAGCCTGGGCTCCCCAGTGCAGGCAGAGACTCCCCAGAGCACAAGACCACCCCTGCCTCTCTTGGCCCCATGATCCCCCTCTTACCTAACTGTTCCTTCACACCCAGAGCCAGCACCAAGCAGGAGATGCAGTACAGCATGCCCAGGACCATGGCAGCCATCACGTATGCCCTCCGCTGGGGAACAAGAAGTGCGTTAGACTGATGTACTCCACTTCTCCTCCATAGGTGTTTGTGCAGTGACACCAGCCTGGAGGGCCTACTATCCCCGTCCCCTACCTCTGTAAAATCCTACCCACTCTTTGAGTCTTGGCCCAAGGGCTGCTCTCTCTCTCTCTCTCTCAAATGATTTCTGTGTTCTCATTTGTCTCTGTTTTCTCTGGGAATCTTTGGTGCCACAGGGTAATCTCCTGTGTGTCATTCCTGACTTCCTAATTCATCTGCCATCTCCTTCCTTGAAAGTGGAAATAGTGACTTCTTCTGCTTCCCTGCATTGCCTAATAACAATAACAACTACCATAATAATAATTGCTAACAATTATTAAACAGTCACCGTTATTATATTAGCTCATTTACTCCTTGCAACAGCTCTCTAATGTGGCTCTATGATATTAGCCTCATTTTACAGATGAGAGGACTGAGGCTCAGAAAGGTTAAGGAACTGCCCAAGCCACACGGTTCAGAAATGGAGGCGAACATATAAGCCAGTCCAACTCTGATGGGCGACTGCTAGAAATCAATGGAATGATATGCACTTAGCGCAGTGCCTGGGGAATAGAAGTGCTCTACTACCCAGTAAGCATTTATTGAGCACCTACTATGTGTCAGGCACTGCTAGGTGCTGTGCGTTCAGCTGTGAGCAAAGGCCCTTCTCTCCTCGTGCTTGTGAGCTGTTCCTGCCTAAGCCTTCCCTCTGCTGTTCCCTCCGCTTGAAATGTTCTTTCCCCAGGTTCCCACATGGCTTGCTCCATCACCTCCTTTAGGTCTCTGCTCAAATAGGTGTTATCAGTGAGGCTTCCTCTGACCTCACCACCTAAAATCTCAACTTGCTCTGTCCTTCCCTGCAGCACATCCTGCCCGATGCCTGCATGTGCTATGGGCCTCACTCACTCATGGGTAATATCTCTTTCCCCTGCAGGATGTCAGCTCTGTGAGGGTGGAAGATGTGTCTGTCTTTTCCCTGCTATAGCCCCTGGCACAGCATAGCGCCTGGTATACAGTAGATGCTCAGAAACCATGTGCCAAATGGATGAATGAACAAGGTTGGTGGTGAAAACTGTTATGAGGGAAAATGAAGGTAGTCAAAGGGGATGGGGTCTGGGAGTCCTCTTCCAGAGGGGGCATTTGATTGGAGACCTGATTAGAGAGTGTGGCGGGGAGTGGGGTCGGGGGGAATGGGTCATGTAAAGAGCTGGGAGAAGTGTCTTACAGGCAGAGGAAAAACATGTGCAAACACCCTGAGGTGGGAGCATGCAAGGCATGTCTGAGAAACAGAAAAGAGGCTAGTGTAAGGGAGAAGGGTGGGAGATGAGGGAGAAGGGCTGGGGGCCAGTTTGTGCAGGTCTTTCAGACCGTGCTGAGGGATCTGACGTTTCCTGAGGGTGATGGGGAGCCATGGAGGAGTCTCCAGAGATTAGCTGTTATTACTACATTTCAAGGGCCCACGTGGGCCAGGCCCAGGTAGGCCGCCTTCCACACACACACTCCCATTTGATCTGTGTGTCCATGCTGCAGGCTTTCCTGTCACCTTTTCACAGACAGGGAAGCAGAGGCCAGTGGGCCCCTCCTTACTGTGTTCTCCAGAGAGCTGGTGAGCAGGAAGCTGCTGTTACCATCAAGGAAGCCATTGTCCCATGAGCCATTGAACTCCACCAAGCCCTAGTTCATGCCGCTGTGGAAGTGGCTCCCCAGCGTCCCCTAGATGTGGGCTTCTACTAGCGTGCAGACAACTTCCATGTCTATGCCTGCGGAAGTGAGTGACATAGACCAGCAGGACTTACTTCCTGGTCCCAGGATGAAGTAAAGAAACCAGCAGATGGTGCCAAAGGCAACCTCTAGTTACCTTTGCTGCTCATTAGCATAAGACACTCCCACTAGTGCCACCACAGTTTACAAATGCCATGGCAACGAGCTGCAAGTTACCACCCCTTTCCATGGCAACAACTCAGCAGTTGTTCTTTTCTAGAGCATTCTGAATAACACACCCCTTAATTTGCATGTAATTAAAAACGTTTGCATCTGGTAAAGATCTCAAATGTGCTTAACACGATTGTGGCAGTCATTTCACAATGTATATGTGTATCAAATCATGTTGCACACCATAAATTTACACAATTTTGTCAATCATACCTCAAGAAAGCTGGGGGAAAAAAAATCACATACCACAAATTCACTCCTTTAAAACATGCAATTAAGTAGTTTTAGTATATTTACAGAATTGTGCAACCATTATCACTATTAATTCTAGCATATTTTAATCACCCCAAAAAGAAACCCTGTACCCATTAGTAGTCACTCCCCAATCCTCTCTCCCTCTAGCCTGTGGCAACAAGTTGTAGCATGCATAATATTCCATTGTACGGTTACACCACATTTTTGCTTATCCATCAATTAATGCACATTTGGATAGTTTCTACCTTTTTGCTATTGGAAACAGTGCTGCTGTGAACAGCCTGTGTACATTTTTGTCTGACACTTGTTTTCAATTCCTTGGTCATATACCTAGGAGTAGAATTGCTGGATCCTATGATAACTCTGTTATCATAACTTTTTGAGGAACTGCCAAACTGTTTTCCAAAAGGGCTGCACCATTTTACATTCCCACTTTCAGTGCATGAGGGTCCTAATTTCTCTATATTCTCTCCAACACTTGTTGTCTTTTTTTATTATACCTATCCTAATGAGCGCAAAGCGGTATCTCCGTGTGGTTTTCCTTTGCATTTAAAGATTACTAATGAATTAGTCTGGTGTGGTGGTTTGTGCCTGTAGTCCCAGCTACTCGGGAAGCTGAGGCACAAGAATCACTAGAACCTGGGAGGCAGAGGTTGCAGTGAGCTCAAATCTTGCCACTGCACTCCGACATGGGCAAGAGAGCGAGACTCTGTCTAAAAAAAAAAAAAAGAAAAAGAAATTTAGTACTACTAAGAAGCACATTTTCATGCTGATTTGTTTGTTTTAAAGATGCCAAAGATCTAGATAGGTTTTTGTGTGTGAAATTTTCTGATTTTAAAATGTTGGTCCCAGATCATGGGGTGCTCAGAGCAGCAGGCTTCCCATGCTGGAGGGCCACGCCTCCCCCTGGCCAGGCCTGCTCAGCATTGGCTTATGTTTGGCCCATGTTTGCCAACCACCTCCTTCAGTTCCCTGTTGTTCCCTCCATGTCAGTCACTTTGGATTTCGTCCATTCCTCACACATAGCAAGTTCTTTTCCACCCCAGGGCCTCTGTACTTGCTATTCCTTCTGCCAAGCACACTTTCTCCCCAAATCTCTGCTTGGTTGGTTTTTCATCATGCAGGTCTCAGCTCAAATGTCAAGTCCTCAGAGTTGCGATCCCTGGCTACCCTAACATAGCCCCAAAATTTGCTGCTAGTAACTTCCCATTTCTATTTCATTGTCTTCAGAGAACTATTGGCATCCGAAATTACCTTGCTGTGTATTTATTTACAACTGTCCCTAGTTATACACAGAGGATTATTTCCAGGACCCCTTGTATATACACAAATTCACATGTGCTCAAGTCCTTTAGCATTTATTGGAGTACATGGATACTGTCTTTCTTTCTTTCTTAATTTCTTTCTTTCTTTCTCTTTCTTTCTTTCTTTCTTTCTTTCTTTCTTTCTTTCTTTCTTTCTTTCTTTCTTTCTTTCTTTCTTTCTCTCTCTCTTTCTTTCTTCCTTTCTTCTTTCTTTCTTTCTTTTTCTTTTTTAAGACGGAGGGTCTTGCTTTGTTGCCCAGGCTAGAGTACACTGGCATGACATAGCTCACTGCAGCCTTGAACTCCTGGATTCAAGTGATCCTCCCACCTCATCCACCCAAGTAGCTGGGACTACAGGCATAAGTCTCAGTGCCTGACTCAGATACTGTATTTTTTATTTACATTTGGTCGAAATAAATTTGCCTATAAGTAGAATCACACAGTTCAAACACGTGTTGTTCAAGGCTCAACTGTGCTCATTTACTATCTACCCCACTAAGATATAAACTGTAAGAGCAGAAATCATGTCTCTTATTCCCTGCTATAACTTGAGTACCCTGCACCTAGCAGGTGCTTAATACGTATTTGATGAATGAGTAAATAAGCTACAGATGAGGAAAACGTGGCTTTGAGACGTTAAGTCACTTGCCCAAGGTCCCACAGTTAATTAGTGGAAAAGCCACAACAGGAAAAGTTTTCTATGTGCAGATCCTGCAGCCCAGGAAGGAGAGACTTGCCTGAGTCTAACAGCAAGTCAGCAAGAAAACACAGGCCGCCAAGGTCTTTCCGTGGGATGCTGAATGAGGTTGGCACTGGGGGCCTGTCAAGCTCCAGGAGCCTGTCTGCAGTTGGTCTCAGCTGAGGGAGACCCTCCACCTCCAGGGAGTCAGTCAACCAGACCTGGCTCCTCCAGAAGCCTCCATAGATGAAGGGCCCCGGGAAATCCCCAAAGAGATTTCTGGAGGCCAGAGGTAGGAGGACAATTCAGCATCCAGAGGAGAAAGGACTTTCTAACAGGCAGAGCAGTGATGAGGGAAGGACAGGTGGTGAACTGCCCATTGCCTGAGGGAGATAAGCAGAGATGAGTGTCAGGAGGGGCCCAGCTCCACTTAGCTCTGCCGCACGTTACACTCAGGAAGGAGGCTGGGGGAGCGCTGGCAAAACTCAGGAGAGGAAGAGGCACCAGTGCCCAGTCTAGTGTATGTGACATTTGACTGAATCACTGGGACCGGTGGGACCAATGATAATGCAGCTTTATTTTGACTTCCCAGTGTCCACACACCCTGATGGGTGAACTGGAATCTTCACAGGCATTGAGACGGAATCTAGGGCAGGTCCCAGTGACTCTGGTAATTGTAAGTCTTCCTGTCACTTTTTCCCCTCAAAGAGCTTTAATTCATCTATTCATAAAAATAAATTTCTGCAATGATAAAAATGTACCAGAAGCAAGTCAAAAGACAAAAACAGAATAGGAAAAAAAAATTGTGATTCATATCTCAAAGTGTACGTCTCCCTGATTCTGAGACATTAGTTTCTTATAGATAAGTGAACAGAGGATATGAACAAAGGTTCACAGAAAAGAGGATGCAATGGCTTCTGATTGCACGAAAAGAGACTCAACACCCTTCATAATCAGGAAAATGTTAAAGACAAACTGCTGGGGTCAGATCTGGTTCTGGGCAAGAGGGAGTAATAAGCATGTTCCACCCCACCTCTCCTGCTGAAGGCGCTATAAAACCTGGACAGGATGCACAGGCCAGCTATGTGAGGACTGTGAAAAGTAAATGGTAGAAGGTAACTTGAAGAAGATCAGAATTCAAAGTACCATCCTGAGTTTACCTTTTTGCCCCCTTCTTGTTTCCTGGCTAGAACAAAATGTAGCCTGGAAGTGGGGACTGGGACCACACAGGAAAACTCCAGTAGAAGCCCTCTAGTGCTGGCTCTAGGACCAGGAAAGGAATTTCTAATGCCACCCTCCTGCCCTAAGTTTCTTTCTTATTGCTGCTCTTCTATGCCCCAGCCAACAGGGAGTCCCTGGCAGGAATGACAGAGGCCTCAAAGCATTGGGAACCTGCAGAAGCCGAAACTCAGAGGGAGGAGAACCATCTTCATGCATCAGCAGAGCTGTGATCCCAAAAGGAAGGGAGCAAACCCCTGTTGCTTTTCCGTTGTGCTCCCACCACCTGGCCCTGTCATGAAGAGTGAAGCACAGAGGGATGCTGAAGCTTTAGCTTTCTGACTGGAAGCGTGAAAAGGCAGCCTCAGGAAACAGGAGAGTACAGGGAGATTGTAAAAAGGGAGGAGCTTGTGAAAGCAACCCCATTACATTGTTTACGAACTCCTTGATGCGCTCTCCAATTCCACATGTGTGGATCCGATTGTAATCACCATATAAAGGCTCTGAGAAATGTGCTAACAGGCCACACTACTCAGGTCCCAGACTCTCTGCTGGGTGGTGAACACAGGGGACCAGACAGTCAGTAAAGGTTTTGCAGACTGAGCTGACATTGGAACCACCACACACAGAAGGTTGGAACTTGAGGCCTGAACCTGACCAGGTTGACTGCCTGCCAAAATGAAAGATATAAACGTTTCCCATAAAACTTAAATAAGACCCAGAGCCTCAAAATATAATACAGAAAATGTTCAGTTTACAATCCCAAACTACTCAGCTTGTGAAGATTCAGGAAAATGTCAACTCTCCTGGGAGAAGACATCAACAGATGCCCACTCCTAGATGACACAGATGTTGGGGTTATCTGATACCTTTTGAAGAAGTGACTACAAAAATACTCAAATGAGTAAGCGTAGATACTCTTCTTTTTCTTGAGATAAAATTCAAGTAACAGGCCGGGTGTGATGGCTCACACCTGTAATCCCAGCACTTTGGGAGGCCGAGGTGGATGGATCATGAGGTCAGGAGTTTAAGACCAGCCTGGCCAAGATAGTAAAACCCATCTCTACTAAAAATACAAAAATTTAGCTGGGCACGGTGGCAGGCGCCTGTAATCCCAGTACTTGGGAGGCTGAGGCTGAAGAATCGCTTGAACTCTGAGGGCGGAGGTTGCAGTGAGCCTAGATGGCACCACTGCACTCTAGCCTGGGTGACAGAACGAGACTTCATCTCAAAAATAAAATAAAATAAAATAAAAATAAAAATTAAAAAATTCAAGTAACATAAAATTAATCATTTTAACAGGGCATTTAGTATGTTCAATGTTGTGTAACCACTACGTCTATCTAGTTCTAAATATTTTCATCACCCCAAAATAAAGCCCAGTATCCATTAAACAGTACTTCCCATTGTTCCTTCCACATGGTGCCCAGCAACGATCAATCAGCTTTCTGTCTCTATGGATTTACCTATTCTGGATATTTTATTTAACATGTGGCTGTCACAGTATGTGACTCTTTTGTCTGAGTTTTCACTTGGCATAATGGTTTTGAGGTTACTTGGAGTTAGCCAAACTGCAGGTAACCTCAAAAACACTGCTAAGACAGGGTCCTCCAGACCACCAAATTTGACTCCCAAGACTCTGATACAAATTTCAAGTTCAAGCGTTTCCTAAAACCACCCTCAGGTTGTATAATTCACCAGAAAGACTCGCTGAAACCCATTATATGCATGTTTATGTTTATTACAACAAAAATATACAAATTAGAACCAGCCAGAGGAAGAGATGCATAGGATGGAGTTGGGAGGGGTCTAAATGGGGAGTGTCTGGAGTCCTCTCCCCAGGGTCGTGGACAGTTACTTCCTCGTGGCCATGATGTGTGATAACATGTGCAGAGTATTGCCAACCAGGGAAGCTCACCTGAACTTTGGTATCTAGAGTTTTTAATGAGGCTTCACTACATGGACATGATTGATTAAAATCAATCTTCAGCCCACTCCACCCTAACCCTGGAGGTTGGGTTGAAAGCTCCCACAGTAAATTCTATGTTTGTTTTTTCTGGTGAGGCCAGCCCCTCCACCCTAAGACTATCAGGCATGAGTGGTGTTATGAATAATCTCATAAGCATAAACTATTCAGGTGTGGTGCCAGTGACTCACCAGGAATAAAGAGGACACTCCTGTCACGTAGGAAATTCTAGACATCTCTTTGAATGAGGCCAAATTCCTTACAACATGGAAGTTTATCCATAATGGCATGTATCACTACTTCATTTTTTTTTGGTTTCTGAATAATCCATTTTATGTGTACACAATTTGTTTATTCATTTGTTCATTGCTGGACATTTGGGTTGTTTCCACTTTTGGGCTATTTTGAATAATGCTGCTATTAAACATGGATGTACAAGTATCTGAGTACCTGTTTTCAATTCTTTTTATACCTGGGATGTTTAACTTTATGCATTAATTTGACTAGATTATGGGATACCCAGATATATGGTAAAACATTATTTCAGAGTGTGTCTGTGAGGGTGTTTTCTAGATTAGTATTTGAATCAGTAGATGGAGTAAAGAAGATCGTCCTCCCCAGTGTGGGCGGGCATCATGGATGAACTTCAGTGTTGAAGGCCCATTCATATAGAACAAAAATGTGGAGGAAGTGCAAATTCTCTCTCTGTTTTTGAGCTGGACCACCTTCTCCTGCTCTCAGACAATGGAGCTCTTGGTTCTCAGGCTTTTGAACTCTCTAAGGCTTATACCAGTAGCCTCCCACCCCCAGATTCTCAGACCTTAGGCCTTGGACTGGGAGTTACATCACTGGCTTCCCTGATTCTCAGGCTCTCAGACTTGAACTAAATTACATCACCAGCTTTTCTGGTTCTTCAGCTTGTAAATAGTATGTCATGGGACTTCTTGAACTCTGTAATTGCATGAAACAATTCCCATAATAAACCTTCTCTATATGTATTTCATTGGTTTTGTTTCTCTGGAGAACTCTAACATAATTCCTAAGAGTGGAATTTCTGGGTCATATGTAATTCTGTGTTTAGCTTTTTGAGAAGCCACCAAATTGTTTTCCACAGCAGCTCCCAACAGTGTACAAGGGTTTCTATTTCTCCATATCCTTACCAACATTTGCTTTTTCCGTGTTTTTGATTATGGTTATCCTGGCAGGTGTGAAGTAGTTTATCTCTTGCGGGTGTTAAGTGGTATCCCACTGTGGTTTTTATTTGCACTTCTTTAATAACAAATGATGCTGGACATGCTTTCATGTGCTTATTGGCCATTTGCATGTCTTCTCTGGAGATATGTCTATTCAGGTTCTTTGCCTATCTCTTAATTTTTTTCTTTTTTTTTGTGGTTGAGTTGTAAGTGTTCTTTGTGTATTCTGGATACAAGTCCATTATTTGCAAATACTTTCTCTCATTTTGTGGGCGGTGTTTCTGCTTTCTAGAGAAGATATTTTGTTGTGCAAATGGTTTTACTTTTTATGAAGTCTAATTTATCCATTTTTTGCTTTTGTTGCTCATGCTTTTGGTGTCAAATCTAAGAATCCATTGCCAAGTCTGAGGTTACAAATATTTACTCCTATGTTTTCCTCTAATAGTTTACCCCTATGTTTTCCTCTTGTATTTGGGTCATTGATCCATTTTGAGTTAATTTTTGTGTATGGAGTGAGGTAGGGGTCCAGCTTCATTCTTTTGCCTGTGGTTATGCAGTTGCCCCAGCACTGTTTGTTGAAGAGACTATTCTTTGCTCATTGAGTTGTGCTGAATGCTTATTGAAAATCAATTAGCCATAGATATTTATTTCTAGGCTGTCAATTATATTCCATTGGTCTATATGTCTGTCCTTATGCCAGTACCACACTGGTTAAATTATAGTAGTTTTGAGTACGTTTGGAAATCTGGAAGCATGAGCCCTGAAACTTTGTGTTTCTTTTTCTTTCTTTTTTGGTGTGTGTTTCTTTTTCAATAGTATTTTGACTACTTGGGGTTCATTCCAGTTCCATATGAATGTGAAGATTAGTTTTTCCATTTTCTTAGGAAATGCCATTGGAATTTTGATAGGGGTTGCATTGAATCTGTGGATCATTTGGGGAGTATTGCCATCTTAGCAATTAATATTTCAGTACATCAACATGTGGTGTCTTCTGTTTATTTAGGTCTTTAATTTCTTTCAGCAATATTTTGTAGTTTTCAGCATACAAGTCTTTCTCCTTGGTTTAAGTATTTTACTCTTTTGGATGCTGTTATAAATGGAATTGTTACTTAATTTCATTTTCAGACTGTTCATTGCTGATGCATAGAAAATGGATTTTTGTGTACTGATCTTGTAATCTGCAACTATGCTGAATTTGTTTATTGGCTCTAGTAGTTGTGTGCATTTTTGTATTGTGATACTTTCTATGTCATTTCTATTATCTATATATTTCTATATCATTTCTTCTTCAACTAGAGATAACTTTACTGCTTCCTTTCCAATTTGGAGGCGGTTTATTTCTTTTTCTTGCCTAACTGCTCTGGCTAGGTCTTCCAGTACGATATTTGATAGCAGTGGTAAAAATGGGCATTCTTATCTTGTTCCTGATCTCAGTGGGGAAGCTTCTGCTCTTTTACCATTGAGTACAATGTGAGTTGTGGGTTTTGTGTAAGTGCCCTTTATCATGTTAAGGAAGTTCTCTGTATTCTGATTTGTTGGTGTTTGTATCCTGAAAGTGTTTGAAGTGTTGAATTTTGTTGCATGCATTTAATGTATCTATTGCGATGTCATTTCTCCCTTTACAGTGTTGTGTTACACTGATGGATTTTTTTTTTTTTCTTATTTTGAGCCACCCTTGCATTTCTGGGAGAAATTCCACTTGGTCATGGTATATAATCCTTTGAATGTGCTGTTGGATTTGGTTTGCTATTTTGTTGAGGATTTTTTGAGTCTATATTCATAAGATATACTGGACAGTCGTTTTCTTTGGCTTTGATATCAAGGTAATGGTGGACTCATAGATTCATACATATTCTGCATTTATATTTTTGTAATCACAATTTGCAAAGAACTCTCAAAATCCAACAGTAAGAAAACAAATAATCCAATAAATAAAAAGGTAAGAACTCTTAAAAATGCTTTATCCAAAAGGATTTATGGGTGGCAAATGGCACATGAAAAGTTGTTCAGCATCATTAGCATGACAAGACAAGCTAATGTTAAAATGATGACAAGAGATAACTACAAAACCTATTAAAATGACTAAAATAAAAATGCTCGCAATACCAAGTATTGGTGAGGCTATGTAGCACCCAAAAATCTCATATATTGCTGATGGGAATGTTCAGTGGGACAGCCATTCTGGGAAATGATTTGACAGTTTTAAATAAAATTAAACATACACTTACCATACAACCTAGTCACCCCAGACCCTAGACATCTCTAGAGTATTCACCCTAGAGCAGAGGTCCCCAAAACCTAGGTCATGGACCAGTATCAGTCCATGGTCTGTTAGGAACCAGCCACACAGAGGAGGTGAGAGGCTGGTGAGTGAGCAAAGCTTTGTCTATATTTACAGCCTTGTCCCATTGCTTGCCACCTGAGTTCCACCTCCTGTCAGATCAGATCAGCAGCAGCATTAGATTCTCATAGGAGCACAAACCCTATTGTGGACTGTGCATGTGGGGGATCTAGATTGTGTGCTTCTTATGAGAATCCAATGCCTGATGATCTGTCACTGTCTCCCAACACCCTGAGATGGGACCATCTAGTTGCAAGAAAACAAGCTCAGGGCTCCCACTGATTCTACATTATGGTGAATTGTATAATTATTTCATTATATATTATAATGTAATAATAATAGAAATAAAATGCACAATAAATGTAAATGTGCTTGAATCATCCTGAAACCATCCGCCCCACTCCCCAACTCTGTGGAAAAATTGTCTTCCACGAAACCTGTCCCTGATGCCAAAAAGATTGGGGACTGCTGCCCTAGAGAAAGGACAATTTTGTTCAAAGAAAAATCTGTACACGAATGTTTATAGCAGCTCTATTTCTAATTGCCCCAAACTGACAACAACCCAAATATCCTCTAATGGTTGAATAGATAAACAGATTGTTGCACACTCATACCATGGACTATTACTTGGTAATGAAAAAACAATGAACTTTTCATATGCACAACAGCTTGGATGAATCTCAGAGGAATTATGCTAAGAGGCCAGTCTCCACAGGTTAAATACTGTATGCTTCCATTTACATGATGTTCTGGAAAAGACAAAAACTACAATGATGGAGAAGAGATCAGTGGCTGTCAGGGACTGAGTTTGGGGGGTAGTATGACTATCAAGGCATTGCATGAGGGAGGTTTTGGGATGATAGAGTTGTTTTGTGTCCTGATTGTGGTGGTGGTTACATGAATCTATACATGTGCTGAAATTCATAAAATTACATGCAACATAGTTAATATTACTGTAAGATAATTTAAAAATTAAATGAATTAGAAAAAGGTTAACAGTTAATACTCATTCATATGGCTAAATGTATAACAACTCTTATGAGGTAGCAGACTGGCAGAACTTATTTTCTGGTCCCAACCCTGCTGACCAAAACAGGATGTGGTTTATACAAAGTGAAGAACCAGCAGATGGTGAGGAAAGCGATCCCTAGCTGCTCTCATTGCTCATTAGCATATGACAGTCCCACAAGCACCATGACATGGTAATGATAATTACCTGGAAGTTACCACCCCTTTCCTAGGAAGTTCTAAATAACCTGTCCCTCAGTTTGCATTGGCCTGCCCTTTAATTTGCATGTAATTAAAAATGGGTTTATGTGATTATACAGTTGCCAGGAGCCCATATGTTGCTGACTTAAGTGCACTGCCTAGGAGTTATCCTTTCTCTGCAAAGAGCAGTACTGTTCAACAAAAGACTGTCAATTCTACTAGCTTGTCCTTAAAAGCCAAGAACCCTCCTGGGATCAGCACCAATTTTGTGGCTCACCTATCCTGTATCAGTTATACTGACATACCCATTTTGCATATGAAGAAAAGGAGGCCCAGAGGGGCTGTTGGATTGTCCAGGGTCTCAGAGTTAATAAATGGCAGAGTTGAGAACCTGATTTGGGCAGTTTGCCTTCATGGTCATTATTCAAAATATCTTCATTAACTGACTCAAATCGGGGGCACAAGGCCACATTTTTCTGAGTTTTCAGGTAGTTGGTGATTGTTTTTGTTTAAAACTCCTAGGATTTTTTTTTTGTTTGTTTGTTTTTTTGAGATGGATTCTTGTTCTGTCGCCCAGCTAGGGTTTTTTTTGTATTTTTTAGTAGAGACGGGGTTTCACCATGTTAGCCAGGATGGTCTCGATCTGCTGACCTCGTGATCCGCCCGTCTCGGCCTCCCAAAGTGCTGGGATTACAGGCTTGAGCCACCGCGCCCGGCCGACTCCTAGGATTTTTTACAAATTACATGTTTTTGTAATTTGTTACATGTTGTAATAAGAACTTTTTAAAAATTAGATTTACAGCAGCTGAATTTCCTAGAATATAGGGTGCTTGATCATAAGTCTTTTCAAGAAAAAGATACTTTAGAACACTAATAAATAAAATGTGAAAAAACTGTGTTCTTATCTGGGTCCTTCTATCAGTGAAGCCAAAAGAGCTATTATAAGACAACTTAAAACCCATTCCAAAGATGAAGGCAGTTGTCTGTATAATGCAGTGCATCTCAGGCATCTCCAAAAGACAGTAATGAGAATCCACCCCGACAGTGAAGAGAACCATGCCCACCAGGAAAGTTGTTGCCATTGGAAGGAAGGAAGGAAAGAAGAGGTGCTCCAATCAGCATATTTTTTCTTTTTTCTTTTTTTTTGAGATGGAGTCTGGCTCTGTCGCCCAGGCTGGAGTGCAGTGGCTGGATCTCAGCTCACTGCAAGCTCCGCCTCCCGGGTTTACGCCATTCTCCTGCCTCAGCCTCCCGA